CCAACGCGGCGTCGCCGAGCCCACAGCCCACGTTCCTCGGTCCCCAGAGCGCCGAAACCTCGCCAGAAACTTCCCAGCCTCTTCCAAGCCCGAGCCTCCCCAGCGCTGTCGCCCTCCAGCCTCGCCCACAGCCTCAGAATCCCTGCGGTTTTCTGTGTGCCAGGGTGGGGTCGCGGGGGCACCTAGGGCCCCAGGGAGAGGCACGTGGGGACAGCTGTCAGTCTGGCAAGGAGGGCGCGTCGGCTCCTGAGAAGATTGCATTGACTTGCCGAGCGCAGGTAGCCCAGCGCAGGCACAGGGAGGCTCAAAAGGTGCCTGTGGCTTCACCTTGGCAGCAGAGGTTACTTCTGAATGGGAGGCTTCGGAGCTAAGCCTTGAAGACCCGGGTAGCTGTGCTCCCAGCTCCCACCGCGGGGGACCAGGGCTGCAGGGAGGCCAGCAGGCCTTAGGCTGGGTTGAGTTGGGTGTGGCCCTAAAAACCCCAGTTGAGAATCTGAAGTCGATTCAGCTAAGAAATCACTCAGGAGCCCTGGGAAGGAAGCCCTTTTCACAGAGGCAAGGTGAATTGAAGGAAGCCTGTTTGGAATCAGTTCACTTAGAGCCTACCTGTCCTCCTTATTGCTACTTAACCCCTAGGAGCCAGAAAAGCTTTCTCCTGTCCAGGTAGATGCAGGTTTCTGAAATCTGTAACTTAGACAATTTAAGAAAAATAAGGCCTCATGAAAGTGTGGGGCTATGAAGCATCAACTTCCTTGGCATCGGGATGAATGTCCCCTGCTCAGCTATTCACTATGTCCAGCTTAGCAGTGAAAATGACCCCAGAAAGGCTGGGCTCACACCAGCTGAGGCGAGAAGGGGACCCCAGGGTCCTTTGTGAAAGAGGCTGTTACCAACAACAGGGTTCTGGCCCTTCTCGAAATTGTGCTGGACCTCCAGTACTGCCACAGAGCAGGTCTCCCTCTTACTTAACCCCCTTAGTTGTGGGTGTTTGGGCTCCGGGGAACCAGCTGCTTTTTTCTTTTTGGTTTGTACCTGGCTGGGTTGGAAGGCCCCATGGCTGAAGTCAGAGCAGCTTCCCTAAGGAGGACCCTAGAGAAAACAGCACCCAGAGGTGGGAGGAAAAATGTCCATATGGTGAGGAGGCTGGGGTGGGGCAGAGAAACCAGCAGAGGGGTCTTAAGGAGGATTTGGGGGGTTTTCTGAATAGGATGGGGTGAAGGAAGGTAGAGAACTCCATCAAAGAAACAGTGAGGACACTGTAGGGTCTTCAAGCAGAGTGGACACACCTAGGAAGGAAGAGTTGGGATGAGCCAGAGGGGTCCCTAGGTGGAGAGAACAGGGCTGGGGTGATGCTCAGACCACAGGAGAACAGCAGCTTGTCTGCACCTTCTGGTTTCCCTGGTTCTCATTTGAACCCATATGTGTAAAGGGGTTCTTTTCTAAGGCAGATTTAATATTGGCTAAGAAATCAGATCTTGATAAGGAGAAGTAAGCAGGGGAAAAGAACAGAAGAGAAATGTGGAGGTGAGAAGAAGAGAGGGAAGGAACAAGGGATGAGCTCAGCACCACTGTGTCAGGAGCCGGACTCTGGACTGGCGAAAGGAAAAGTGAGCGATTTCACTGGACCAGAAGTTCTGTCCTGGGAGAGGGCCAAACAAAAACAAAACACTAGGAGATGGGAGAAAGTTTTATACTAAGAATGGTTTTCTCTAAAGGGTTTTCAGTATTGGGAGTGATGGGGAACTGGGATGTACATGGGATAATGGAGGAAAGTCTTCCTTAGACAAGGAGACTGTTGGAAGCCAAAGCAGAGAAGCGAGTTGTTCTTGAAATCAGGCAAGGGCTCCATCGCTGAGCTTGCTGGGAGGGAGACCCTGCAGGGGGAAGCTTTGAGAGTTACAAGATGAAGGTCATCCCTCAGCGCGGGGAGACACAGAACATGTGACAGTGGGCAGAGCAGTCAGGAGGGCAGGCTCCAGAAGGGACATCCAGAGGATTCACGGCTGGGGTCGCCTGTGCCTGACAACTGGACTGTCCATCCCTCCCAGAGCAACCCTAGCCCTGTCCCCACGGCCACTCCCACCCACCTTTCCAATTGTGGGTGTTCCTGAGATGGCTGTGAAAAGAAAATATAGTTCCAAAATGTTAGGCGTCCGATCTATTTGGGAAGTGAGAGTGCACTGCCTGTGTAGCAATGGTGGGAAATTAAACTCACCACTTTGGGATCATCTGGGAATATTTGGGATGAAGTAGGGGAGTTTTCTGTGGGGAACAATGGGATTGAGACCTTCACATTGGAAGGGTCTGGGGAAGAATGCAGGGTTTAAAGTGACAAAGGAAGAAATGCTTTCCTGTTGGGGGTGGGCGACACAGGGCTAAAGTTATTAATTTACAATTGTTTAAGGGTTTATAATTACCAGCCCATTGAAGTGAACTTACAGTGAATATAGGCCCATTTGCAGGGTGAAGAATGAAGTTTAAAAATTTTTTTTAATTACAGGGACTTTTTATTTCAATTGGCTGAGAGTTAAGACAGATACCACTCTCTTACTCCAATTGAAGAATAAACAGAACTTCATTTTGATCCAATTATAGGAGTAGAAACTATATCAACAGATGATAAGAATTATTGTGCACAGAAAGAGTGGGATAGAGAGCTATTGAGGATGGTAAATTGAAAAGAATCCTAGGTTTGGAGCATGGTCAGCTATGGGGTTATCTGGGATAGGTCTTTTAATAGGAGAGATAAGGAAGAGAGAATTCTGAACTGGCTGGGAAGACTCAAGTATGAATCAAGAAGGCTGGGGTGTAATGCAGTGGTAGAGTGCTTGCCTCAAACATGTGAGGCCTTGGGTTCCACCCCAGCCCTGCAAAACAAACAACAACAACAAAAAAAAAACAGTATGAAATAACAGCAGATTCTAAAAGAGTGCTGGCTAGTAGAAATATAATGCAAGCCATACATGTAATTTTAAAAGTTTTTACTAGCCACATTTAAAAGGGAAAAGAGGGGATTTAGCTCAGTGGTACTGGGCCTGCCTTGCTAGCACAGGTCCCTAGTTCAATCCCCAGTACTGCAAAAAATAAATAAAAGGGAAAAGAAATAGGTCAAATAGATTTTAAGAATACATTTTATTTTAATCCCACATGTTCAAAATATTTTCATTTTGCTCTAATTTATGTTAATATTTTAATGAGTTTTTTTTGTTTCTTTGGTTTTTTTTTTTTTTTTTTTTTTTTTGGGGGGGGTAATGTAGTTTAGGCTGATCTTGAATTCACTTTGCAGCCTAGGCTGACCTTGAACTCACAGTGATCCTTCTGCCTCAGCCTACTGAGTGCTGGGATTACAAGTGTGCATCATCACACCTGGTTTGTAATGTATCTTCGCTGTCCTCTTTTTTCACTAAGTCTTCCAAATGCAGTGTGTATTTTTGTACTCCCAACACATCTCAGTTTGGTGTAGTCATGTTTCAGGAGGCCAGAGCCTCAT